AGACACGTGTCCTCGGTGTCACTAAAAATCCTGTTACTGAGATCACGTACCATCGGCTTACAACTCCCTCACCCCCGAGGTACTTGACATATGGGTCAAGTTGCATTCAGTACGTTTTACGAACCGACACGTATCCCTCGGTCTAATATAGTACATCGATCGCCATGTACACCTCCCCTCGGCTCGAGATGTACCTCTCCTCGGTACCGAGATGTACCCCCATCCAGGATGCCGTTTCTCTGCTCTAGTATAAGCTATTGCGGTACAGGTCACTAGCCTAGGCTAGTCTAGGTTAGCTATCATGATCTCGTCTTACACAATTGGTGTCAGAAGGCACAGGAAGGCAGGGTCCACAGCCAATGAGGAATGTACGCGTGGCAAATTGTGTCACATCAGAGACAGAAAAGACCGCATGCCCTTGCTGACACGCGACTTGGGAAAACAAACATTTAATTACACCATTCCCTTAATGAGACCGTATTCAATGCGGTAAGGCTGGGAATTGAAAGGCAATAAATGTCTCTAAGGCTGGGCATTTATTGCATCCTCCCCGAGAGGAGCTCATTGGGCAGTCGGCAGCCCGATGACACAACATTGATTGCTCGGGACCCCGAGCAGTTAAAGAAGAGAAGACATTTCTCATCAGAATCAGTGCGCACACTGCCTGTACCTAATGATCACCTACTGACTACCCTGATAGCAATCATGAGCTTTTGAGGTATAAATACTCCTCGTAAAAGGCAAGACGGTATGCAACAAAAAACTTTTGCTACAATACACACTCAGTGTTTTTTTCTTCCTCTCTCTCTCAAAGATTGACTTGATCGTCGGAGGGGATACACCGAAAAACACTCCGGCGCCCTTCTAACTTGTTCTTCTTTGTTCTAGGAACCTTTCTCCAGCCTTACTGGATCGTTCATTCAATCCACGAGGGTCTCCCGTTGCCGTTCCAGGTTACCACCAGACCTCACAGGCTGTCCCAAGCAGCGTGGTTGATCACTCAACTGACTCACTCGAGTTCACCAAGGAGAGATCTGTTCTCGTTTTTTATATTGTGCAAGATCCTGCACGCACAGAAACATTCATTAAAGTGGATTAAATAAGCTCTAAAACAAGTGAACCACTCATCTTCCCTTGTTTTTAACTATCGATTGAGCTGTTGCAACCTTCGTCCACATACATCGTACACTGGGCATTAGGGGTGCAACTTGGGTTGGACAACCCGATTTCAACCCGAGCTCAACTGAAAAAATTAGGACTTGAGCAAGAGTTTTTAATACTTGGGTTAGGCTTAAATCAAAAAACTCTAATTCGAATTCAATTTCAGTTGGACTCTGTCACTCTCGTTTTCTTTGCCTCCCTCGTTCTTTCAGTCTCTCTTGTTAAAAACTTGGGTAAAGTTATTGGTTGTTAATTTAAGTGAATATTATATAATATATATATTAAGTTTAGAACAACAAGCCTACTTTGAGCTCTATCCGTAAAATAATCCGAAATCTGTCCGAAATCATCAACCCGAATTCAACTTGAACCTGTCCAAATTAAACTCGGGCAGTGCTTGGTTTGAGTTTTCCAACCCGAGGTAGGATTACGGTTAAAATTAAGATTGAAGATTATATATTTAAGATTGGACTAAAGTTGATTGTCTAACCCACTCAAATTGCACCCTTACCGGACATTGAGTTCATTTAGCTTTCCTCATTTACTCCTGTGTTTCTAGAACTCAATCTACTCTCGTCACCCAACTTTACTCACCAAGACCTCACAGGGAACAGGTGACACGCTAGCGGTAATGGTGTATAAATGGATCTGCCCAACCTGACCTACTTCCTAATTGTTAGGCTATTCAACCAGTTTTAATTGGATTTTAATTTATTATTTCAGCTAAATATCAAATCTACAAAATAAAATCATAAATTGGGTATTTTGATTAATTGAAATAAACAACTAGATTAATGGATATGAATAAAGGATCACTAAATAGACCAACTGCTGTCTTCAACACCCCCCCCCCCCCCCCCTCTGTTTTTTTTTAGAGTGGGATGAATATTGTGTAATTAACTCTTACGAAATCGACGTTTTTGACCTAGATCAAGTATACAATGTAAGCACATAACATTTTTATAATAAGTAATAGAGTGATATCAAAGGTGGCATGATACCGAATGTTACAACTAAATAAAGTTTAGTTGCAACTTATATAAGCCAATTTATTATAAAAGAACGTTAGGATCGTCCTGAAGAGTTTCATTTGTAATTACATTATTAAATAGAGTTATAAATTTAAACTTATTTTCTAGTAATTTTAGTATCATACCAAATAAATTGAGAGTCCGGTAATCAAACGCAAAGCCGGCCCAGCCTTTAGACAACTGAGTTATTTGTCTAGTACCCCAAATTTTAGAGAGTCCCCCCACAATATTTATCCCTTTAGTATAGTTGGCCTAATTTTTTATTTTAGATATGATTAAAATTTTAGGACTCAAATTTTATTAGTTCAGATTAGTATCTAATTATATTAGGTTCAAAATTACACTCTACTTGGTTAAGCTCAAATTTTAGAAGCTTCCATAAAATTGACCACTTTAATATAATAGTCTTTTTTATTTTTAGTATTTGTATTTTAGATATGATTCAAATTTTTAGGACTCAAATTTTAATAGTTCAAATCAATATCTAATTTTTTTTTGGTCCAAAATTACTCCTTCGTGTGAGCTTTGATTTAAAATTTTTTAAATATTTTGGGTGTGTTCGTAGTTGTATTTCACTCACTCACATAAAAAATTTATATTCATTATTTCTTGTGATAAAAATCTATAAAATTGGTTCATTTTTTGTCTTAATATAAATTTTCAGTCCAAATAATTTATACTTAAATTGTCTATGTTATTAAAGTTTTGTACATCATGCATGCACATTATTCATGGGTAAAGAATGATTCTTTGTTATCTTAAAATTATTCTTTACTCACATATTCTATTATTAAATTACTTGTTGAAAACTTAAACTGATAAAATTTTATTTACAATCAACTAAGAATGAATGAATTAACAATATTATCTATTAAAAAAATTATTGTCAAAATTTGAGTATAAAAACTTGATCAACATTTTAAATTTTTAAAAAATAAAAAATAATTTTTTAGAACATAAAAAATTATAATAATTAAAAATAAAATATATTAATAGACAAAATATTAATAGGGGAAAATTTTGCCTAGGCTTCTGCTTTACCTTGGACGGACTCTGGTCGAACGCATTGCTATTTCTAAGACATACCTCAAAAGTACATTCACATTGAAGGAAAGACATGAAACTCAGAGGATGAACTCACCTAATATGCAGTGAAAGTGTCCTCTGATGGATCAGTGAGAAAGAGAATGACAACTTTGGTCCTCAATTGAAACCATGGAGATTATAGCCAAAGAATCATTCATATAATATTGATTGTATAATTGTCCTTTTCTTTTTCTTTTTCTTTTTCTTTGGTCTTCCCAAGAAATAAAAAAAGAAGAAAGGTAGAAAAAAGATGGTACCAAATGGTAACAAGAGACCCAGTACTTTATTCATTGTGGCATGCTGATTTCTATTGCATGGACATGGTGGGGGGGGGTCACAAAAAGAAAATTATAATGTCGCACAATCATGCACTTAAAGGAAACTCTTGACAATGAAGGTTAAAAACTAATACTTTTATGTCACTCCACGTTTACTTCGCTAATCAATATGGAATTGGGTCATTACAATCTATCCCCCTTAAGCCCAAACATCCCCATTTGGGTCCTGCCCCGACCCATGTGTTGTGGGCTTCTTAGGGATCCACCATGCTAGTTGCCATCATCCCACGTTATTCTTGTTTAGGAAAGACCTTTCAGAGAGATGACTTGACTTAGAGTTGGATCTAAAAATGTGAGGGGAACTACTTTGTCGCATGCAGAAACTATGGACAAGAACAACGTTTTATGCGGGTTCACCTTCAAGTTTTTTGGAGGGTAATTTTTTTTTTTGCATTTTTAACCAATTATGTTGATATCACTTTATTCATTTTATTATTAAGTTTCTCACATTATTCGTCTTAACTACTGATATTGGTTTAATGTTATTTCAAAAAGTAGAGGTCCGCTAGATTAAGTAAAACAAAGGGGCATTATCTAGATGAACAAAGGGACGTAACTTTCTATCCTTTTTGGGATGGATTTTCACAATTTAGATAGCGTGAAAATAATAGCATGTTCAGAGGTGCAACATGTGAAACATAACAGCTGAGTGGCAGTGAGAGACAAAGAGCATAGTTAAGGGGTCAATGTAATATTTATCAAGTTATAAAAATCAAATCTGGGCTTTTCAATTTCTTGGTCCTTGCATTCTTGAACATTTATACTAGTTCTAATTTGTCCCAAAATTTTTTTTCTTTCAAATTTATACATGAACAATTAGAATCGTAACAATCAACCCTTTCTGTCCAATTTTTCATTAAAATATACTAGAAAATTCGATACACTTATTTCGATTTTGCTCATGAACTAATGCTTTTATGCATAGTTTAACGCCAGAGTTAAACATAGCGAACAAATTCTTACGATTTCAAGAGTTCTAAGACAAAATTTTGGCAAAACAGTCTTTGATATGTAAATCCAATCTGTTGTAAAAAAAAAAAGATTTTTATGATTTTTGGCCAAATGAAGAACCCCCCTAGAGTTAAATATTTTCTGATAAAACTACAAATTAAGTATTGAAAACTGAATATCAAATTTCAAGTGTTAAACATTGCATCTTAGAAAGTGAAAACTTTTTGGTATGTACTAAAATGTAAACATTGAATTGGACAATACAAAGAGCAAAGTGTGAAGCTTGTACAACCGTACATGTCTTATTGTGAAAGAAAAAAAGATGCCCACCACAGCAGATGTGTTGCTTCCTCTATGGGAGAGCTCTTGGCAAGGAGACCAAAACAAATACATAAATACAACACAATTAATTGAAACTTCCAATGCCAAGATTTCAACTGTTCACAACTGCACATTGTTTCCGAATCTCGCCTGAAGATCCTGTTTCGACATCAACCCGACCCATTTTCTCCATGGAAGTGGCAAATTCAGCAAAGAAATCTTTGAGTGAGCCTTGAAGAAGTTGGGTGATGTATGTCTTTGTGGTTGAGCTTGTTGTCAAGGCTGCATCAGATTGAAATAGGCCTCTTCTTTTCAGCAGAAGTGTATAGTAGCTCAGATCAAATGTCCTGAAACTTCCCGGATCCATCTCTACTATCGTGGTATTGTCGTTAGGCAATTTGCATTTTTTCGCTTTGAGATTTGCTGCATATTCACTGTCTAGAGCAGGATCTTGATCCCCCACACCAGAAAAATTGTATAGACGGTTTGAGAACGATGAACAGTGCGATATTCCGATGGAATGAGCCCCTGAAACAGTTGATCATGACAACAATGTTAACTCAACTTAACTGAGCATTTTTCAGTTATTTGGGGTCGGCTATGAGTTTCACTGTAACAAATATATATATTATCGATTGTGCTAGATTACCAGATAATAAAACTAAATCTTTTAGATCAAGTCCCTTGTTTGCAAATTTTGTTTGGAGGGTGGAGAAGTTATTAGTTGGACCAGCGAGGTTTGCTAAGGCTTCTGATAAATTTGAAATCCGCCCGTCTCTCCGACCGGTTGGTACTCTCCAGAATGGACCTCCCTATCATTACCAAAGCAGAAGATCAACAATGAATAGGATCACAAACATGTGTGACTTAGTTTATGTTGTTTTTGGTTATGTGGACACTTACTGTGACAACAATGGAGTCTCTTGCAACCAAAGCAATGATATCTGCACAAGAGACTATGCCAGGGCATTCAGCTTCAAGTAAGCTCTTCACTCTGTCAATGAAATCATACCCTCTGACTGTCAAATTTGGAGGAGCAAGCTTTTCAGTTTGGTTCCCAGTACTTGAAGTAAAGTTCAGAAGAATAGATCCATCACAACCCTGATCAAAAAAAAAAAAAAAATTTGAAAAACAGAATATCTTACTGAGAAAACATGTTTTGAATTAACTTGGGTGGAACTGGATTCTATCAGAAACCATGGATCCTCGAGTTTTCGCCTGAATTAACAGTATACAAACATAAACATAGAGATTTGACAGTGGATAAATACTAACCCTCACAAAGCAATCATGGAAGTGCATTCTTATCAGAGCTGCTGCTAGTGATGGAGCATTTGGAATGTGCTTATTGACAAAGTCCAACACAATCTTCTCAGCTCTTGGACAGCTTTTGGCATAGAAATTCATCTCCAGATCACCATGAACAGAGCCAACAAGCCCCAAAACACCCAGAAATAGTATCACAAAGTAGCCAAAGGCACCCATTTGTGCCTGTGTTTAGGAGAATTTTCTGTCTACTTTACTGGTACTTGTACCAACTCCTGGAAGCAAAATTATAGAACCTTAAGTAGTGGTGATGGAGCCACAACATTCCCTAAACACGTCGGTGAAGTTTCGTGTCTTAATCAACTTATGTCATGTCATATTTATGTATATATATATATAGTTCGTGAACTCAGGGCCACTCAATGGCATAGTGTTGACGGCGCCGCTTTAGACTTCCAAATTTTTAGGGATTTTTGTTCATCTCCATTTCAAATCTTGGTATCGTGTGTGTGGGTCAGTGTGTGTGTGTTGTGTGCTGCTGCTTGTATGTGTGATTTTTGATTTAAAAATAAAAAAGGAAGAGTTTTTCATATTTGATTTTGGTTATGAATTTTTGTACATGATTTTTATAAGCTGTAATTTATTCAAAGGAAGTGTAAAACACCACCTATGTGTTTGTGTGATTGTGTGTGGATAAACATTTGTGTCTCTCTCCAAATCACATTGTCCCATGACATACATATTCTACATATATAAATCACATTTATTAATCACCATGAGAACCACACAATTTGTGTAGAATATTATGTCATTTGTGTGGTTCTCATAGTGATTAATAAATGTGATTTATATATGTAGAATATGTCAGTCATGGGACAATGTGATTTGGACAGAAAAAGGGATTTAAGAATCTTTCATAACTCGTTCAAATATGCTGAGACAATGAAGATTGAGTTGTGCGTAGTGTTGAGGGAAAGATTGTTTGCTCATTCAAAGATGTTACGTTTGATTAATTCCTACGAAATAGATCATTGCTGCACTTAATTCTTATGAGTATATATATAGCTTCTTAGAGTTGAGCGGAGTTATTTCTAAGATTTGATCATGTGACACCCCAAAGTTCGAGTGTCTGTAATTATTCGATTGATTATCCATCGACCTGTGTAATACTGGTGGATATCATGTAATTTGATACCACATCGTTATGCTCCATTTCTCGGGATCCATAACTTAACAAAAATTGGACAGAATCTCCTTTGTACGAGGAGCTCTACTCAAAACGCAACCTGTACAATATTGATCACACCGGGTCTATCTATCCATTCACAATTGTATAGTCTCGAATACTACCATAATCATTATCAGTACATACATTTATTCGTAAAAGAATAAATGTCCCAAAAGAGTCCTATATACATGCCTTTGTAAATATAAACAAATGTTTGTTACAAAAATTATACAAGGTCAAAAGTAAGTATAAACAAGGGACTACAATGTTAAAATAAAAGTCACAGACCGGCTCTGTCATCAAAGCGGGCTCATGGCCTCGCCTTCGGTGGACGCCTGTGCGATACCTGAAAAATGTTCCCATAAAGGATGAGCCAACGCTCAATAGGGTAACTCCTATAGAGAATACCTCTCAACCTAAATACATATGGAATGTCACATGCAACAATCATTTGATACATTCATTTAAATATGTCTATTATGATTGAATGTTATAGATCATGTCATGCCATGAGATGAGACTCACGCAAGCAATACTAACCCCGAGCCCCATCCTGAGCTCCCATAACACATGCAATGTCTTACGTATGTATCCGAGCATTCCAAGCTCCCATCATTGGTGTTATGTACACTCAATGACTAATTAATTCATTTTCTTGTGTCTTTGTGGGGAGGTGATTTATGGTATTACACCAATGGGACACCAACCATCAACGGATCTTCAGGACATCCCACCTACGGCTCCGTTTCCGCCGTTACACTTTTCTAGAATTTCACCGCCGAAAAGTGTATAAACCAAGTAAGCGGGTCTTGCACCCGAGGGAGAATCTAGCCCTTCGTGTTGTCCCCAACACATTTATCCATTTAATTTCTCGTGCGACTCAACCGAACCTTGGTGCGACTTTTCCGAGTCCACGTTCAACCACCTACGTGGTGATTGATTTCGTACCATGCATACACTCTCACCCATGTCAATGCCCATGAATGTAGTGCAACCCATGCATAATGAAATACAATGTCTATTACATAATGAATACAATATAATGACATTTTAACACGATCTCAAGCATGTTATGTAAGATAATCAACTCAACTAACATACTTGTATTCACCTAGGCATTTAATCAAACACCTAAAGAGCACATCAATTTACACAACTAGCATGCTATGACTTGCAACATGATAACATGTTTAACATAAGCACAAGTCCAACAAAATAATCATATGTTAAATAATCATTTAACATATATATATTATTTCACAATCATATAATAAGTTAATAATTTTATTAAACTTGATCTGCCATTAAAATATAAAGTAATGCTAACATACAATTAACATGCTTTAAACTACTAACATTAACTTACACCAAGTTAATCACAATAGAATTTTATTAATCACAATATTAATTATAAATTTTATATTTGACCCACTAGTCAAGACCTAACATGTGATATACACTTATAATCTACTCATTCCATATGTCATATTTTAAGTTGAAATTAAATCTAAATAGGGGTAACCCTACCTCTCGTAGCGTAAGACCACTTACTAGAACGCCAAGGAAGCCCAAATTTAGCTTCCTAAGTTTTAGGTCTAGATTATCGGCTTTGATATTCCTTTGAAAAAAAATGCGATATTTGGTGTGGTTGCGTAGCTCTCGCTGAGTAGAGCAACTTTAGTTCTTGACCCGAAGCGATTAAACTATTAAATTTTCCTAGATCTAAGAAGGAAGAAAAGAGAAAAAAAAATAAAAACTCATTTTTTTTTTCACTCTCACTACCTCGCCGGCTGTAGAAGATATAAAAAGTGAAAGATAAAGTCTCCCACTTATATATATATATATATATATATTATTTTTAAAATTTATGTTTTTGACCCATAATTTAGCAATTAATTATTATTTTATCCTTTTTATTAGGATTTTAATAATAATAATAATAATATATTTTTTTTTATCGGGTTTTACGGATCATAACTGGTAGCAAGTAGATTGGGGATTATATTGAAAACTATCTTGTGTTGATTTTTGGTGGACAAGGTTGAACTTCATTGCTTAAGAGAATGCCTTGAAATTTTTTTCCCTTTCCTTATGAAGTTCTATCTTTTTTATCAATAAAAATTTAAGTTTTATTTTGATTTGTATCATATTTCATGGGTTGATGAATGTATTGAAATTGAAATTTGGATGTGTTTATAATATAGGAAATTGATATGAAGCTAAAATATATAAGAAAAATTAAATCAATAACAAAGCAAGATACGAAAACAAATAGCACACAAGAGATTACGTAACTTAATTCAAAAGTATAAATTCAAGGATGAAGCTCATCTACAAAATATGACTCCAAAAATAGAAAAATGAAAACAATAGAACAATTACTTCATTCTACTACCGATTACGATACACGTACATATATCACCAAAAAATAGATAGCACACGAGAGTTACATAACTCAATTCGAAAGGATAAATTCAGGATGAACCCCCAGTTATAAAAGGTCACTCCATAATAGGGACATGAAAACAACAAAATAATTGTTTCATTTTGCTACGGATTACAATATATGTAAGTATATCGTCTAAAAATTAATAGCAAACGAGAGATGACGTAACTTAACTCAAAAGCTTAAAAATAAATAACAATATACGTATATATATCACAAAAAAGATCCTTGTCTTTTACTAAAACTCTAATTTTCTAATTAGACAAAATTTCAAAAAAAAAAAAAATCTTTTTTTTAAAAATTTCTTTAGATCATTAGAATGGATTATCCAAAAGAATTTATCCAAACCCCAAAAGAGCAATTTAGATGATTTTTTTGAGAGGGGTTTATATTGACTTTTTCAAACCTAAATCTCTCTTTACAAAAATGTGATTCAACAACATTCAATCCTATCCATACCTATGTTTGGTATGCCTACAGATATATTACTATTGTGATAATATATTTGTATATAAATAACTATTTTGCCCTTTCATCAATCTAATTCAAACTCATATTTATATACGTATAAGATATAATTGTTTTTTTGTGTTCTAAATCCATTAACTCTCATCTGAAACCCATCCCCTCCCCAGGTTTGATGAAACCCATGATCTGGGGTTTAAGGTCTGAGCCAATAACGAGGTGGGCTTGGTAACCCAAGCTTCAAATTTTTATCCAAATATGAGTTTTATGTGTCATTTAAATTATTTATCCCCAATTCATCTTCTAAACCCCCCCCCCCCTCAATTCCACTGATCAAACTGCCCCAAAGAGCTTTATGCAGGGGCTTTGGATTGAGCCTATCAGCCTAGCTCTTTACTCCATGGGTTAAGGCTTACTAAAACTTTTATTTTATATCAACCAATTATGTTAACTTAATTGGTTCGAATATCAATGACACCGGATAAAATATACATGTATCTTATTGTGTGTGTTTTAAAAAAAAATCAATCTGAATATTATTTATAATCTATATTTTGTTGTTAACGACGGTCTCAAATAGGTTAATTTAATAATCACTAATATCTCGTTTAAATTTATTAACATTTTACAGTATTTTCAAATTCAAATTATTCCCTTCTTTTAATAAAGTTGCCAGTTTGAAATGATGTTATGACTGACTAATGTGCGTGTGTTATGTGGCACTTTATTCTCAAATAAGAAATAACCAAAGAAATGATGATAGGCCCATGTTTCTGGAATATAAATATAGGCCGCTTGATTCCTAACTACCCAAGACGTGTCCATGAAAAATCTTCGGTACCAAACAATCAACATTAATTACTTGGAGAAAATTCTACAAGCAAGGAATTTAAATTAAAGCTAACACAAAAATGGTGTTGGTATCAGGTAGCACTACATCATGAGTTTAAGTTATGTAGGGGTGAGTAGAGTCGTGAAAAAGAAAGAGTAACCGTTGAATTAGTGTAAAGAAAGTGGATTGCCGTGAACGTCGATTCGGAATGATATAAATTGTCATTATAGGTATAATAAGGGGCCGTTTGGTAGGAGGTTAAGGGAAGTTGACAAGATGAGTTTGAAAAAAATAAGTTAATGGACCCGAACATTAAACTTATCATGAGTTTCATCAAACTTAAGGGATGAGTTTGGAAATATGGGTAAAGGGATTAAGGATGCAAAAGATAATTGTACCTTTTAATATGAGTATGAATTAGTCTGATCAAGGGTAAAATAGTCATTTATAAGATAAATAGTTGTTAATAATTATGATATATCCGCGAGTGTTACATGTATATGTGTTACATACTAAGCATGAGTATGAATTGCACTTAATATTGAATCTTATGTTTGTAAAGAAAAATTTGAATTTAGAAGGATTTGGATAAGTTATTTCACATCCTCCCTAAAAATCCATCCAAATTAGCCTTAAAGGTATATACTTACACAATTATAGGGTGAAAACATTAAAGGTAAGTTGTGAATTATCAAGGTAAGCATTGTCCAATCGAGAATTCAAATAAAATGAAAGAATAGATTTTTGTATTTTTTGTAGAAGAATATGGTATGATTTTTTTTTTTAATGTGCATAAATTTATGATTTAAAGAAAAATATTTTTAATTTTTTTTATCATTTGATGTAACATTCAAGATATATATATATATATATATATTTTTTAAAACAAAAATTTAACCATATAATTTTGTAAGACGTATATGAATGGGAGTCCTAGGTGATCGCCTCACGCCCCGGGGCGGAGCCAGAGCGGAGACCACGACAAATATAGCTAGTGTGACGGAAGTCATCATACAAAATCTAATGCTATTCAGTTTGAGACAAATGACTAACGAGGATGTTTTAGAGCAATGGAGTGGATTTTGGTGACACAATCTGTTGTTGCTTGGCGAAGTGAGTGTAAAGTGTTTAATAATTTTGAGTTCCGAATTTTTTATATTGTATAATAAATCTTAAAGTTTTGGAGTCTATATTGAGGCGATTGCTATACTAAATTCATTTTTAAAAAGAATAACAGTTATAATCAAAAGTTTTATTATTCTACCGAGGGGAGTCTATCGAAATGATTGTGAGAGTTTTCTTTTTCTCTAACCCAATTTTTTGCTAGCAAAAAAAAGAAAAAAAATCAACAAACAATATTGTCAATGCCGGTCTGAGACGATATCTTTTTTTTTTTTTTGTTTTTTGGTGTCATTGATTTGAAATTTGAAGCGATATTACAGTATTGAAAGCTAAAAAGTCAGAAAAGCATAAACAAATAAGACTAAAGCCAATTGCCTTGAGAAGACAAAAAGGCATAAAGCCACCACCTACTTGGTACAATAAGCCGGTATCATGCTCACCAACGGTATAATATACACAATGACTATAATACCCCTTTTCACACTTGTCACATATAAAAGTCCAATTTCACTTTTTTGCAATAAGGTTAAAATTGTCATTTTGAATGAAATATGTCAGCTGACAATCATTTCTTTTGGTAGATCTCACGTAACCCATTTATTCGTAGAGAAACAAGAGGTTGCGTTTTTATTTTTATTTTTTTAATATTGAAAAAAAGAGTGAGAGTAAAAAAGAGTGTTAAGCGATCACTTTATTAAACCCTTACTAATGAGATCATAAGACCTCTGATTGAGCCTAAAATACTTTTTAGGATTAGACCTAACTAAATTAAAATAATGGTCAATTATCGAACCTTAATGAGAAGTCCAGAACTCAAATTCTCAATCTCTTAGTGGATAATAAGGCTTGGTATGGTACCACTGCTAGACAATCCTACTCAGTGGTAGGTTGCGTTGTATAGGAGTACAGTACGAATACAAATTTCCCACCGAATAGAGAACAAGGACCCATTAGACACAAAGAACATAGAGAAGTTTTCGAATAGTCATTGTTTGAAGTGACATGAAAGTATTTGGTAGACAATTTATATTGTTATGGAAGTGCTATCATTTTATTGATGACAAAGTATCATTATCATTAGATCCCCAGAAGAAATGGTTGACTTTTGACTATGTTAAAAAGATTTTTAAATTAATTTTACAATCCGTTAAATGATTCAAGAAACTTGAGATTGACTCGATTTTATCTAGTTCAAATTACATGGCAAATCAAATTTAACAAAGTTTTTAAACTCATCTTGCAAAAGAAACACCAAACAATGTGTGACTCTAGTTCAAATAAACTCCACCTATTTCCAATAGATTCATACTTATAAGTACTTCTAAATTTATTATCTAACGGTCTCTATTTGAAAGTTGCACCTCCAAATTAACTTATTACCAAATAATCACTACAAATCATATATGTTTTTCTCTCCATCTCTTCTTTGCTAGACTTTTTTCAAAATTGAAGTCTAAGGGTTGCTCGTATAGAATTCAAGTGGTTTTGAATGAAAAATTGATTGTTTAGTATTTATTATCAAGTTTTAGGATTTTATTTTTGAAATATTTTCAAACAAATTAAGATCAATTTTGGCTTGTGTTGGTTAAAATGGTTGTAAGGTTCTATCAAGCTAAGCTTGAGTATGATTTCAAATTTTGTAGTAGAGCTCAACTTGTGCTCAAGCTTGGCCACTCAGTAAGGTACCGAAACTCATCAATTCTGTTCGATTAACACTCCCTTGTGAGCTAGTATCAAATGTGAGATTAGATAACTCATAATTTTTTTTTCAAGGGTGGATTAAGGGTTATCGTATCATCTCCTCAACCTTTGCTACACCGTTCTATTTTAATGCGTGAAAGACCTACTTGTATATAATGTATCACACTAAAATTCATGGTATGTGATCCAACCAATAGCATAACTTATAAAAATAGGGTTTACATTTTGCAATTCATTTTAACAAATCCAATCCAAATTCTAATCCGAAATTAGTCCAAATTAAATAATTCGAATCAAACTTGAATTCTAACCCGAAATCAGTACGAATTAAGTAACCAAAATTTAACCCGAACCCGTCCAAATTCAACTTGAGCAGTACTTAGGTTGAGTATTTCGGGTTGTGATCAAGTTAAGATTATGGTTGAAGATTATATACTTAGATTTGGGCTAGGTTGTCCCAGCAACTCGCCGAACCCTCCCGAGTTGCATTCCTAACTTTTCATGATCATATAAGTGATATAATATTAATTCAGTGAAACTTTTTGGACCATAATTACCACTATATGACCGCCATTGTGATGGCGCTTTTAATCTCTATTTATACAAATTCATCGTGTATGCTCTTTGTTTTTAAATGTCATTTCGTTAAAAAAAAGTAAAAATATATTTGATACTATTTTGTAAAAGCGATCTAGATGCAGCAGCCAGTTCAACAAAAAGCATGAGATATTTTAGTTCCAGTGTGAATAGTTTACCTTTGATTAGACAAAAGAGGAGATTAGTCAAAAGATACGTAAGTTAGCACAGACATTTCTGACTGTTAAACTAAAAAAAAATGAAATACAGAATTGTACGAAGGACCAATAGTAACATTATCAAGAATTAAACAACTGTTTACATGACAAGATCAACCTAGCAATTTATGCCAAACCTAGTTATTCGGACACACAAAAAAAAAAAAATACAATTCTTCAGCAAAATGATTCACCAATATAACAGAGTTAACAAAAAATAATTAAATAAAAAAATCAAATAGGAAAGACAGCTTTTAATTAGTTGATTTTTATTTTTGGTCAATTTTAATTAGTTGATGAATGCACATCGTTTCCTGATTTCACCAGACTTGTCTGTGAGCACCCCAATCTGACCCATCTTCACCATGGCAGGTCCAAAGTCATTCAAAAAAGTGGATCCACTTGAAATCTGACTCAGAACATAAGCTTTTGTTGTAGTCTCAGACAGAAGAGCTCCATCAGATTGAAAACAGTCCTCTTCTTTTACGCACCCTAGTGTAATAATCAGTGTCAAACTTTTTGGAGCTTCCAGGATCCGTCTCAACGATCGTAGTCAAATTGCCCGGTTTACATATTTTCTTCAACGCAGCTGCATAGTTTGGATCAATTGTTGGGTCAGTGTCACCTTTGCCAGTGAAGTTGTAAATCGGATCGTGACGGCCGGAAAGCAGTGAGAGATCCCTATGGTGTGGCCTCCTATAAGAACAAAATTAAGTATCATTCAAGTTAAAATTTGATATAGAATATTAATTATTAATCATGGAGAGTTTTCTGTAACAAGTTTTACATTACCAGATAGGACTGCAAGGTCTTTTACACTCAAACCCTTTGACCCAAAAGACGCTTTTAGTTGAGTTATATTGGAAAATGGAGATGGTAGGTTTTTCAAGGCATTTTGGCCGTTGACACTCTTCCGTCCCTTCGTCCCGTGGGCACTGACCATGATGGTCCTTTGATCTGGAAGAAAATCATAAGTTTAGTTAATAGCTGCATAAATGTTGGTCGAGAATAATATATGTATCGTTTGGTAAAGCTTTGTAAGTAATTTTTTATCAAACAGTATGGTAAGTTGGTAACTAGTGTATGGTGTTGGTTACCATTGAAACTGCATCTCGAGCCACCAAGGCGACGATGTCAGCACAAGAAACAACTCCAGGGCACTTTTTTTCTACTGCAGTTTTGGCAGCATCAATCACTTCAAAACCTCTTAAACTTGTGTTGGGGGCTGCATCTTTCTCGGCTTGGTTGTTCTTGGTGGAGTTTATGAGAACAGAACCATCACATCCCTGCAACCAAAATGCGTGAAAGATTCATATAAACTATACTCAATTATTGTCCATTTACACCATTTGAATAAAATGACTCAAAACCCAAAACATAGTAAAGCATTCTTAAAATTTAAAATTTTAGGAAAACCTACGGATAGAAGATGTCCATGTTCTACTTGTAGGAAAACCTTTTAGAAAAGTTCTAGTGCAAACCTTGATGTTCTACTGATAGGTTTAGCCTACTAAAAACGTTTTACTGCTAGAAGAACTCGTCGTTTTAATTCCCAAGTTTATTTATGAGGTCAACCGACACCCAGTCTCCTTGTAACACAAAAAAATCTGAATGTCTCAAAATTTGACATACATTGATAGGATAGCTAGATTTTGCGAAATGAACCCAACGGTGAAATCTATTTCGTTATCCAAGTTCTAAAAAATTTAGATTTTTAACTTGTACCATAGTAACAAATTACTATTTTGTCATTTTCATAAAAAATTTAAATTTAACATTTTTATGGAAACAACTGGACACTTCGTTGCAAATAATAGTTTGAGGCACCCATAGACAAATGGGCAAACAGAAGTGATGAACCGGACATTGGTGAATATTCTGTGGGGTCTTTGCAAAAAGCACCCGAG